GCTGTAAGGAGCAGCTGTAAGGAGCAGCTGTAAGGAGCAGCTGTAAGGAGCAGCTGTAAGGAGCAGCTGTAAGGAGCAGCTGTAAGGAGCAGCTGTAAGGAGCAGCTGTAAGGAGCAGCTGTAAGGAGCAGCTGTAAGGAGCAGCTGTTGTAGCAGCTGTTGTAGCAGCTGTAAGGAGCAGCTGTAAGGAGCAGCTGTAAGGAGCAGCTGTAAGGAGCAGCTGCAAGGAGCAGCTGTTGTAGCAGCTGTTGTAGCAGCTGTGAGGAGCAGCTGTTGTAGCAGCTGTGAGGAGCAGCTGTTGTAGCAGCTGTTGTAGCAGCTGTAAGGAGCAGCTGTAAGGAGCAGCTGTATGGAGCAGCTGTATGGAGCAGCTGTATGGAGCAGCTGTAAGGAGCAGCTGTATGGAGCAGCTGTTGTAGCAACTGTAAGGAGCAGCTGTTGTAGCAGCTGTATGGAGCAGCTGCTGTAGCAGCTGTATGGAGCACACACCTCAAATCCTCTCTGCTGTCTGCTGAGCGTCAAGGGAGGAAGGTCGTCGTCTGCTCCGGGGCTCTGTGGGGACCAGCGGGATGAGGGGGGACTTTGGGCCATCACGGGGCATGGGAAGCAGGGGGACTTTGGGTAATCACGGGGCACGGGGAGCAGGGGGACTTTGGGTCATCACGGGGCACGGGGAGCAGGGGGACTTTGGGTCATCACGGGGCACGGGGAGCAGGGGGACTTTGGGTCATCACGGGGCATGGGGTGCAGGAGGACTTGAGTCACGGGGCGTGGGGAGCATGGGGACTTTGGGTCATCACGGGGCAGGGGAACTTTGGGTCATCACGGGGCGTGGGGAACAGGAGGACGTGAGTCACGGGGAATAGCGAGGTTGAAAGTAATTCTCGCACGGTCGACAAGCCCGAGGTGTCGGCACTCGTTGTTAATTTTGAAAGGATAGAGTTGCCTGTAACTGCTCATGCCCGCCTGTACACCCGCCGCTTCTCGTCCAAATGAATGCACTATTTCATGTATACAGAAATTGATTGCTACATCATCATATATCGGGTTGCCACAACGCAGTTTTGGAGTAAATTTATTCGTGGAGTTAAAAAGACGCAAAGAATTAGAAAGAAATGTTAATGTACAACACTGGCAGAGTTGGGCAACAACAGAAAAAGCATCAACAACAAAGCGACACTCAATGGTATTAAGATTTGTACGTGGTTTGATGTGTTGCTGGCAATGATACGATTACATCCTGATATGCACATTTACAGGAATGAATAAAAAAACTTTATTTCAAAAGAAAAGGCCAAATTTCTAAAAAAAATACAAATTATTTTAATTACCTCAACGATATTTAATCAACTGAGGCTAAAGGGCATTGAGGTGCAGATGAGGCGAAAATTATTTACAATTCATACAATAATCTATGAGCTAAGTAAGAATAATCATACCTATTTTCGTCTCTCAGAATGAAATCGATCATTCATAAAGCATTCATTCAGATTAGCTCAAGAAAACCTACATCGAATGAATTGTAGAAAGTGAGGCCTGGATCAATTAATCATCACCAGCAACGAAATAAAGTTCAAGGCAGTTACACCGAATATTTACCATCTCTTGCCACACAAAAAAAATCTACGGCTCTCAGTTATAGCTTTTCATAAAGTTTCGTTGATAGTGCGTGACAATAATTAAGATGGCGTATTTGAGTTGGGCAGACTCGAGACGGATTACCTTTATATTTAAGGTTAACGGTTATACAGCTAGTAATTAAAAGAAAAACACATAATTGTGGCATTGGAAGAACATGAGACCCGCAAGATTATATCAACCTCAAGATGCATGTATTTATTTAGTATCTGAGTTGCTGGTGCGAATGAAGCGTGTGAGGGAGAAATACATCGTTAGAAGGTAAGCATGGGACGTTACAAGACTGGCGGGAGTCAAGCTTGGGGCTGTATAGTTACATGGCACAAGTTGTTACTCACCTTCCGTAACGCGAGGTCAGTGTCAGCTGTGCGAACAACACTCGCCCACTTCTCCCTGCAGGAAAATATAGAAATTTCACACAGAGAAGTGAACAAAATTAATGAAATTTGGTCCAGACGACCGAAACGATTACAGTATGGGTGGGTTTTATGGGCAACGCATCGCTAGCAAGTTTCTTGTGCTGTGCACCACCACAGCACCAGCGTGGCGGTGCAGTGGTGAAAGACTCAGTCTCTCGCACCCAGCGCCCAGGTTCGAGTCCCACTGCGGACAAGTTCTGCCGGGAAGCTCAGCTCATGGTCAACTCAGCCATTCATCCAACTCTGGTTGATAAATGAGTACCTGGCTTGTCCAGGGTGTTGTGTAATGCAATCAAAATGGTTCTGGCGGGTCAGCGAGCCAGTGATGGTCGTAGAACTACCAGTGGCACAGAGTGCCCGGAAAAACTGACCTATCACCCCCCCTCCCTAGTCGGCACTACCAGGATGGGCAATTACAACAACAGTTACTTGTCCAACAAAATTCACTGCTGCACCACACTGGCATTACATTTACGACGTGTGTGTCAAATCATAAGCCCAATACAACTGGACACAATTTTTATCCCTTCACATCGGAGGAAATGAGGTTATACTGAAACGTTCATTCAGAGATAGAACTTTTTATGCGAGTGGAGGGCACTCGTGAAACGATCTGAAATAACCGTTTCACCAGAGCAGATGTTAGCCAGAGACACACTGGCGGCCCTGAGAGACTGTTTACACAGAAGCAGAGGACGGCTAAGAGTGGACGATGCCTGAAGGTGGAAATCAATTGCGGATGACGGTCACCCATCGTCGACGTCGGAGACGAAGCATAGGATAGAACTCACCCAGGGACAGCCCTCACCCAGGGACAGACCTCACCCAGGGACAGACCTCACTTAGGGACAGACCTCACTTAGGGTCAGACCTCACCCAGGGACAGACCTCACCCAGAGACTCACCGGCGGGCGGGCGGGTGGACGGCATAGCGGCTGAGGTCGGCGACGACGGCGGTGGCCACGACGGGTTTGCTGCCGAAGGAGCGGTGGTCGAGCACCCGCAGCGTCAGCGGCGGCATGTAGACCTCCTCCCGCGGCAGCTCCTGCCACGCGCCGCATCGTCAGTCTTACTAAACTCATGCTTATTGTGTTTATTGTTCTATGGTATAATATATATCGAGCGCATTATTGAACCAGCCACTCGCGGCATCAGCCACTTAGATCCCAAGTCAATCAGGAAACCAGCCACTCACGACGTCGAAGCAGAGGTGGGGGGAGTCGAAGTTAGGGTTGGTCCTGAGGTTGGTCATGACGCCGCTCGTCACGCGCTGCCCCCCGCACTCAAACTCCACGGACGGACGCGTGACGGCCTGCAGCTCGAACGTCGTCATGTTGCGCACCCCCCAACATAGCACCTGCGCAGTGGGGGTGGTTACGTCACCGCACTCCAATATTCACAGTGGGGGAGGGTTGCTGTTGTTGCACCGACATGAATTACCATATTACAAGCCGCCGTCAAATCGCAGCTTTTTCAGACCGCGTCTGTTGTGGTATTAGTTGATCCTACTGCGGTAGCTGTTTCTACTGCTTATTATCTGTTTATCTGTCAATATCGAACAATGATGATGATTAAAAATATAAAGATGGTTTGAAAATGTTTCTTATCAACCAGCATACAGTTAATTAAAGCCTGTTCAGAAACTAAAGATAGATTACGAGCTAAACTTGCGAAAACTGCATTTGTGAACTCGTGTTCCTCCACACACTTTGCTGCACGATGAATGCTCTGGTAGTGCACCTTGATTCATTTTAGGCAAGGTTGTCTGCTACAGCAATAACTAACGGAGTCTGGTCCCACAGGCCGCTCGTGGTTACATTCCCACTCGTCAAATAGCTCCCTTCACATGACAGGCAGCCCCATGATGACAAGCAGCGCCACTCCTCAAATAGCCTCACGTGACAAGCAGCCCTACTTTTAAAATTGCCCCACATGACAAGCATCCCCACATGACAAGAAGCTTCACATGATATAGAATCGAATCCTGCATGGAACAAAAAGTACCTATTTCTGAATGTGTATAATGTGGGAAATAAATCATGCCGTTAGTGATATATTTTCTTCAGAATCAGTCTGCCTCAACTGGTCTTATGAGGATTCATGAACTTCAAGAGAATCTTCAACTCTTTGTCTACTGACTGTAACTCTCCTTACCAGGCACGCTTCTTGCCTCACCTCGATCCTGGTCTTCTGCAAACGAGGCCGGACCTCAAAGGGCACCATGTAGACGTTGCCCCTGGTAGGGGGAGCGTCGTCCAGGCCCCCCAGCAGGAGTTCGAAGGAGGCCAGCAGCTGTCCTTGTCCTTCACCATCCCCTGCATGGGACAAGAGTCGTGGTGTCATGCCCCCCATCAACCAGCTGGTGCCCACACAACAAGATTTAGGGGGCGATGCCTCCTGCCCCCATCAACCAGGTGGTCCAACACAACAAGATTTAGGGGGCGATGCCCCCTGCCCCCATCATCACCCAGACAGTAACCCACCCTTGTGAGCAGCGTGTGGGACGAGTGGGTGCCAGCGCAGGGGTGTGGGTGTGTAGCCACACTGGGGGTCCTGCACGGTGGGTTCACACACCGCCACACCCAGCGCCTCAGGAGCTCCCTGTGCGACACAAGCAAGCGCTGGATGAGGCATCCAAAACACCATTTATTTAGAGCTACATTTTTCAAACTTCTTATCTTCTATAAATTATCAACGACGTATGACGGGACTATTACCGTGAGAGGATAATACCAAAAGAGGATTTGGTCAACATATAGGAAGGTACTGACAAAACATTAGAGAATTGAAAACCAAAATTTGGGCTAAGCTTGTCCTGATTGATACTCCTAACTTAAAAATCCCTGTTCAGCTTACGCTGAAGTCGGATCAGTTACTGAACTCAAGTCAGTTAATACGCGGGGGAGATGCGATCATAAGAGGAGGGAAGACATGGAGGGTAATATGTACGGTGACATCCATGATAATGTCTAGGATGACAGCTAGAGTAACGCCTAGGGTGACGTCTAGAGTAACGCCTAAGGTGGCGCCTAGGGTGGTGCCTAGGGGATGTCTAAGTTAAATTTGAGTGACATCTAGGATAGCATCCTTTGTGATATTTAGGGTGACATAGTGGATAACATCTATGTGGTATTTAGGTAACATCTAGGCTCTAGGGTGACGCCTACGGGAGATTCCAGTTCCATCTGAGTGACCTCTAGGATGGCTTGTATGGAGGAAAATGGAGTGACATCTTTGGTGACTTCTAGGGTGACATATGTGGCAACTGGCAACTCACCCTGGCGTCCCAGTCGAAGACGTGCACAACTACCGCTGGGGGACGACCTGGGACGCCCTGCAGGTCCTTTCTGAGCAGGTGTCCCGCGATGGGAACCTTGTCGAAGATGAGGGTCTCGTCCCACGTGGGACAGAGCGTTGCCGACGCGCGCTCCGTCTGCTGCGTCCCATCGCAGAAACTCACCACCGCGAACGGGTCTGAGGGACGTACGGGGGACGTATAAGGGGTCTGAGGGACGTACGGGGGACGTATAAGGGGTCTGAGGGACGTACGGGGGACTTTATAGGAGGTCCGTCAGACGTACAGAGGAAAATCAAAGGGCCTGTATGACGCACAGGAGATCGTTAAGGGGCGTTAACGGACATTATGAGGCAAGAAACAATTCCGTTTGCAAACAAATATTTTCATCGTTTCGTTGAGACAATTTTCATCTTCATCATTGCATTCACAGCGACGAAGATTACAAGTATTTCATAGTTGCGAGCTCCAATTCCAGTCTCACCTGAAAGGCCAGTCTTGTCACCAGCTGCCAGGTCGCGTGCCTGGTAGAGGTGTGCCCGCAGTTGGTACAGCTGGTGTTGGGAGCTCACCACGTACTGCCGAGGGCAAGCCTGTAGCTGGGGCGCACCATCTGTACGACGCAAAGCGAGTGTTATTAATCAGGTTAAAGTAAAAATTTTTGTCTTCTCTACAAGTAAAAACTTCAAATATTCGCTAAAACTTCCTCTTATCATGTGACCACAAAACAAGGCTTATCCATAACTTTCCGAAATTGCATTTCACTCAACACGAAATTGTATCTCACGCCCGTCACTGTCCCCACAACGACGATGATGTCCTGCTCACCGGACTCGCTCTTGACGAGCAGCCTGGGGACGTGTATGACGGCGGCGGGGGACGAGGGGACCACCTTGCGACGCCAGCGTCGTCGTCTCACCACGTCAACACGTCGCTCTCGCTGGTGGAAGCGGCGGCCGAACAGCGAACTGTACTCCCACCCCTCCACCGACCCCTCTGCTGGCTGCAATAACTTTTAGTTAACTATTGAAACTAGAATGATGAAGGTAAACTGCACAACTGTTACGATCCAACACTTGATTATAAACTGCTTAACTGCTGAGACCATCTGTTGAAGCACAGCTGTCGAGGTCCGACTATTGAGGCCCTACAGTTGAGACCCAGCGGTTGAGACTCAACTACTGAGGCCCAACAGATGAGACCCAGCAATTACAGTCCGACAGTTGAAGCCTAACAGTTAAGGCCTGGCTGTTGAGACCCAGCTGCTCAACTGCCGAAATCCAACTGGCAACCTAAGCCTAATAACGCAGTTGGGTAGCGCAGTTTGTGGCGGCCAAACTTCAAACAATCTAAACACTATCTAACCGAATCATAATGATCATCTGAATCATTGGCATAAATTATTGGTTGACCGTGACTGCATTTGCTTTGAAGATCATCTTAAGAAATAAGTGCACCAGTCCTGTCACACTGTGTCACAGCCTTCAGCGAATGTTATTTGAAGTGTGGGGCATTCTTACATGCCGAGGCAATCAGAGTTGAACTCCCCTAGGTGATGGAGCCGAGCTCACTTCTAGAGAAATGTTGGTTGAAGTGTTTACTTCACTTCCGGCAACGTCCGCATTTGGAACAGCATAGAAATAAGGCTCGTCTTTTGAATAAATAAAATGAGCCGCTACCAATCTCAGGATAAAGTTTAAATTTTATGTCCTTCCGGTACTAGGTACACGTGTTGTCAACATGCTGGTACCTTTTCAACGTTGCCGGTACGATGACGCTCCCGGTACCAGCGCCGGCGCCGCAGGACGTGGTACATCTTCTGCTGGGGGCACCAGCCGACCACGCCCTTCTGCACGGTGTACTCCCAACCCTCACAGTCCACTGCGCGCTGCACGTCTGTCTGCGCCCACGTGCAAGCAATAATCTCATCAATCTATTACATATTGATACGAATAGTATTGTATTACAGTATCGTCCTTTGCAGTAGGATTTTTATCGTCAGTTATCAACAGCCGGTTATCAATATTCTTAGCACAATTATTGTTCGTGACGGCTCTCGTCTCCTGACTAGGCTATTGGCTCACTTTACGACCTGATCAAATTGGGAAAACTCGGTTACAGTTTTCACAGTATATAACTTTGAAATATTATTGGCGAATTATTGGGACTTCGTTATATTTATATATAACTACGACTTCATTTACTTGATAATTGTTTTCGCGAACAGATACCTTCTTAGTTTACCGGGACTGCACATATATGCTTAAAGCAGACGCATAAATTGTCAAAGAGTGGAAATTTTCACATTTTGATTATTCAGCAGTAAGATATGTAGGAAGCCGTCATATTTTAATCGATATTCAGAGTTGATCATGTATCAGTCATTTTTAACCAAATATTTTTTATACCATTAATCGCAACTACCTTTGTATTTGTAATGTAACATTCACTATGAGTATTGAATATAAATAATACACAAGAAAATGAATAATTTTTCAGCTTTCTGCTCGATGAAATTTGTACCGAAGTCAGGTACACATTTATGTTGCAATAAATTGCGGACGAAGGTGCCATTTTGATGCCTGGTATCATGGATACCGTCATATCTGTCCTCTGCACCTGTCACCATGAATGTAAAGAAGGTGGGTTCTTAAAAATCATTTTTTCCACAGTTTTAATAGAATTCATGTTATTTCTTTTCCCCGTGACATATTAAAGTAGATTCTTTTGCAATTTTTTTTTAATTTTCTGAAAGCTCATTTGCATTAGAATAGAATATAATAGAATAGAAGTTTCGATACTGAAGAAATAGGCCCATGGAAGATGGGCCCATTTCTTCAGTGCCGACATATTTCTGATCCAACAGTTTAAGGAAAAACAGCCCCTGGCTGTTCAAATTCTAGCCAGGACAAGACTTTCGCGAGTTTAGGAAAGAATTTAGGAGAGAATTCAAATGTTGGGAAACGAATAAGCCCAGAATTGAGGGACTATCGAAATGAAGCACGATAGCACGAGTATGTACAAAGAAGAGGAATTTACAAACGAAGACGAAGTGAACGAGAAACACATTCATAAAAAAGTACAAACGCAGCAGAACGTTATAAAACTTTATGAATTTTAAATTTGTGAAAGCGTACAAATGCTCGAGTACGTACAAATAGGAGAGAAAGTGAAAATGCGGGCTAAATTATATCAGAATAAATACAAGTCTACGGGAATTAAAATTGAGAGAGAACGAAGAATTATTCACTTGCAGTGTTACATACAATCCATATACCAGGGAACGTCGCATCAAACAAACTGGGTTTGATTGATTGAAAGCCAGAGGAGCTGTGATACATTTAAGTCTAAATGCTTGATGCTCGTATAATACAAGTAATCATGTCAGGCCTACAAAAATCACAGACAGAAGAGGCCTCTGCATGCGCCTAAGAAAATCTGTAGTGAAACAAATGCAAGGTACAGGACGTACCGTCCACAAGTCCCGCCACGTCCAGCCGCTGGGGCACTGAATGTCGTCCCTGGGTGTGGACGGGTCGCCCCTGGCGTCCGCCCAGTGTGTGGGGGCATCCACCCAGCCTCCAGCAGGCACCCGCACCTGCTGCTCGAACACCTCCTCCGAGAACACCGCGTGGCCCGCGTCCAGGTTGAATTTGATGCTGCACATCATGCGGTTGTGGTGATGAGGGATTATTGGTGACGATGGTGATACTCACCTGGGGTCTGAGACTATATATATATTAAGCTGGTACCTGGGGTCTGAGGCGATGAACCAGTCAACTGGGATCTGGGGCAGTGAACCAGCCACCTGGGGTCTTAAATAACTAACATGCAGTCACCTAGGGTTTGGAACAATGAACCAGTCATCTGGGGTCTGGGGCGATGAACTAGTCACCTGGGGTCTGGGGCGGTGAACCAGTCACCTGGGGTCTGAGGCGATGAACCAGTCACCTGGGGTCTGGGGCGATGAACCAGTCACCTGGGTCTGGAGTACCTAACCAGTTTCCTCGGGTCTGGAGCAATGAACCAGTCACCTGGGGTCTGGTGTGCCTAACCTGTTACCTGGGATCTGGAGCGATGAACCAGTCCCCCTGGAAGTGCCAGCCCTCAGGACACGAAATGGAGTTTTTCTGAAGTGCCACCAGGCCGTCGGCGTCGGAGAAGGGAGGTCGGTTCATGAGCGGTCCCTTGCTGGTCCACTTGCCAGAACCGACGGAGGTGACCTGGTTCTCATAGGTCTCGGCGTAGACCGTCAGCTGGAGATCAGGTCGCTGGTTCCACCAGTCCTGAACCTCTTCGGTTCGTCCTAACCAAAGAGACGCACGAACCAGACCAGCCGTTTGCCCAGTGCCTTGAGAAAGGAGTATCAACCATCAACAAAATTGCAGTAGTTGGGGTGATACTTATGTGTCCAACGATACAGTTGTTCCAACTACTGACCTACTGAATTAAGTGGCATCTATTGACTCAGTGTTCATAGTAACAAGTGGGTGTCTCTTGACTCCCTAAACCAAATGACATATTGATGCACCCATTGACCCACTGAGACGTGCTTCCTTCCCCGTACTCACTGGGACAGGTGACGGGGTAGCAGTAGAAGGCGCCACTGCGCCGTCCCGCTGACGAAGGCTCCCGTGAGTGCAGCACGTCCCTGGCAGGCACCCTGACGTACGCCAGGCGCTTCGTCCCACTCACCAGCCACATGAACACGTCAGGGATGCTCGACTGCGGCTGCGGGGCGACCAAGACGTCAGTATAAAGGCGATAGAGTGAGGGTATATGGTGATGCAGATGATGCGTGGTCACGTCGTTGTGGAGTGCCCAAGACTAAAGTCATGTGAAGCTTAGGATGAAGTCATGTGAAGCTTAGGATGAAGTTATGTGGTATCGCTAAGGAAACGTTGTGCCATTGTGAGATCATTAGAGTGACATCTCTACGAGATCTTGGTCACCGAGGCTCACTCGTGCAGCTCAAGTATTAAAATTACACAAGAACCTGTTGCCATCAGCAATCTCAGGTATACCACTCACCCCAATATCACCACTCACATGGAAACGCCCTTGACAACAATTTCACGTCACACATTGGAACACCACTCACCCTGAAACGTCACTCACGCCTATTTCACCACTCACTCGGAAACACAACTGACCCAAACTCGCATTTCTCTTCCTCAATTCTTCTTCAATTTCTACGAAAAAAGTTATCTGGAAGAACGGAAATCCAACCTCCTGCGCGAGAAGTGTGAGGACGTCACGAGCGTCCTGTAACTGCTGCAGGGACTGTTCCAGGATCTCCTCCTCCAGCACCTCCCCTTGGTTAAGGCTCTCGTCGGTAAGCCTCACGAGGAGCATTTCCTTATCTTCCTGTCGTGGGTGACCAGCTTCTGCCTCTTCGCGCTGCAGGAGGCGCTGCAAAGTCTCTTCGCAGCTCGCCGCCAGTTTTGCCAACTGACGCTCCCGACGAAGGCGCATGTGAACGTCGAGAGACGTGTCACTGTTGCGCAGAGGGTCTGGTAACGGCAGGGGCGCCCTGCGTCACATATAAAGTCACAGGTTACACTCACGCAGATGTAACGTATGCGGCTATTGATCAGCCCTAATGACCCCGGTAGTTGATGCGCGCCGTAAGCATTACACGTAATTATGGGACGATATTTACACCGTCCTGATGCTTTCTAGTTTCATCTTAGCCTCATTTGCAATGAAATTACCAAAGGTAACATAGAAATAAATTGAAGACAATTCAATTTCAAGAAATTAAATGTTTATTCGACGAGTCGTTGCCTTCATAATGAGTATTGAAATGACCTGTTCAGAACCTGTAGATCTAACCTGCAGAAAGTAATCGCTCTCTGCAGACTCTCCTTGAGCAGCACCGCGACCAGCTTGTTGTCTCTGTTTCTATTGCAGCGCATCTGCTGCTGCAGGCTCTGCAGATCTTCCTCCAGCGCCTGGCGTAAACGTAAACTTCCAGTAACAAACCAAAGAAAACGATGGAAAATCCTATAATTAAGAAAAGTTGTGGAGAAAATTTTCGGATCTTGAAAACTGCTGAAAAAGATTTTGTTCAGTTTTAGCTTCAGTTGAATGAGCATTGCTAAAAATACACATTAATAAGATGTACCTTTTATTATAAATATTTTTAGCTCGATAAACCTGCGAAGCAAGACTATTCTTGTTCACACAAGTTATGTATAAAATTAGCCAGCTAATTTCGATGCGACTTAATACAACAGCCACAATAGATAAGGTTGAGGAAACAATAGTGATTGCCACTGAATAGTATCCAAGGCTGCGACAATAGTGAGCGTATCTTGCACCAGCGTATCCTAGACCAGCGTATCCTGCACCAGCGTATCCTGCACCAGCGTATCCTTCATGTTATTAGGTGCGTGTAACATCAAGCAGGATAGTACCTGCGATATAACATGTTATTGGGTGCGTGTAACATCAAGCAGGATAGTACCTGCAATATAACATGTTATTGGGTGCGTGTAACATCAAGCAGGATAGTACCTGCGATATAACATGTTATTGAGTGCGTGTAACATCAAGCAGGATAAGTAGGTAGCTTTGTATCAGGCTTTGTAGATCGATGGACACCGACACTCACTCCAGGTGTCGGTGGGAAAACCTACTCAAAGAGATGAATTTTTTCACATGAAAAACACGCCCAAGACGCAAAGGATAATGAAAAAACTTTCCTGATGAAGTAGTTAGATAACTAAAGCTATTAATTACAATGGCAAAAAAATTGCATGTCTTGCTAAAAATATAATAACCCTAAAGGGATACTCTGTTTTGATAATTTTTGGTCTCTTTCGAACGGAACTTTGTCAGGCGACGATATTAAGTGACCTCTATCAAGCGAATATAAACAATTGGGGTTCATTATCTAATATATATCTGTGAAGCTCTACGCGCTTTTTTAACCCTGAACTGGAAATAAATAAGGGCTATTCGTGCGCGTTTCGACGAAACTTATCTTGTTGCAAAAGAAGGGTAAGAAGTTGGAAATAAAAACATGATATTTTTATTTAATATATTTAATCTTCGCTCATTGGAAAACATAAATTTTCCTTCAAACAATAAGATTCATAAGCTGGATCAACGAACAGAACGTGTGCTGCGTTTGGAAGTTCAAAGTAAAGTCCCCAGATTCCACTTACTTGCATCCGTCGAAGACAGGATTGGCTGGATGCGTCGTGGAGGGCGACGGCAGTTGCGAGTTCTCCAGCTTGTTGCCGAAGTGTCCGATGGAAACCTCGACCTGCAGGGGCTTGCTGGCCTCCGTCAGCAGCGACACGTGCGTGAGGTGAGCCAGCAGCGAGAACTGCCGCGTGGCGCGGTGGTGCTGAGGGCGACAATGAATGAAGTGGTAGTGGCGTGAACTGCCGCGTGGCGCGGTGGTGCTGAGGGCGACAATGAATGAAGTGGTAGTGACGTGAACTGCCAGGTGGCGCGGTGGTGCTGAGGGCGACAATGAATGAAGTGGTAGTGGCGTGAACTTGCGCGATGAGCAAGAAACAGCTGAAAATATAACGGCTACACTCTAAGCTCGAATATTGGGTAAAAAGTAATTCATACAAATGCCCATATAATACACACCCGAACTTTGTGGAAGTCTTCTAGTGACATGTTGGTGAGGGGAGATGAGGGATAAGCCCCCACTGAAGTGTGGAGGGAGACCAGCACTCGACCTCTGAAGGATACTCCCTCGAGAGTCCCCTTGTTCCGTGCCGAGTCCTGCGACGACTCCCACACTTCCCACTCCCTCTGGGCACCGTAGAAATTTACATACGAAGGACCGAACGTGGGTAGGTAACCTGTCAAGACGAGATGCTTTCATTCACATACCGTTTAATGGATATTCGGAAAATCACTTGCACTTTCATACCCAAACATTAAGGCCTTCACTCGCTAGCCTCCGCTGTCAACTTAGTTAAGGGAGCCTTATTTTTGAGAAAACGCAACAATGCAGCCAACGAAAAAAGGAATTTCTTTGTCACGCCTTAAGTGTCGGTTATTGTTGCCATTGATGCAAACCGGATACCCATCGTTGACCAACGCCTAATATGGCATTTAATTGTGCCGCAGTGCCGAGAACTTTCGACACGGCGCTTTAGCGATGTCTACATCTATCCTACTATTATTTATTCATTTCATAGCCACCTTAGACAGATGATCTGAAAGTTTGTTCATAGTCTCTCGACTTTGTTTTCTTAAATACCTTCTCGAAAACCAACGTAAGTTACGATCAGTTTATAGGTTATATAATCATGTACTTATAATGAACAAACGCGGAAAGCCTTCTATTCCCAGCCAAAGTGGCGTTTACAATGCCTCGGCGTTGACAGCCGCTGATGTTATAAAATGTCATCATCATGCATGGTGCCATTTACCGGTACCGGTAAATGGTACCGGTACCGGTCATATGGTACCGGTACTAGATCCGGAACCAGCAACAGAATCACGGTCTTATCACCAGCATTATTGTTTGCATGGTACAAGCTTCGGTACCAGCAACTGCTTGGTACCAGCAACTGCTCGGTACCAGCACCATGCAATAACTGCACGGTGCCAGTATCTCCGCTTAACCGCCAGCGCCGCTACCCACCGTCCTCCCCCGACGCCGAGATCGCGTTGACGGGGATGACCGCCGTACCGATGACGTCATCGTCGCCCACGCGGTCCCTGTAGGGGATCATGAGTGGTGAGGGGATCGTGAGTGGTGAGGGGATCGTGAGAGGTGAGGGGATCGTGAGTGGTGAGAGGGTCGTGAGTGGTGAGGGGGTCGTGAGTGGTGAGGGGGTCGTGAGTGGTGAGGGGGTCGTGAGTGGTGAGAGGGTCGTGAGTGGTGAGGGAGTCGTGAGTGGCGAGGGGGTCGTGAGTGGTGAGGGAGTCGTGAGTGGCGAGGGGGTCGTGAGTGGTGAGGGGGTCGTGAGTGGTGAGGGGGTCGTGAGTGGTGAGGGGGTCGTGAGTGGTGAGGGGGTCGTGAGTGGAGAGGGCCGCGTGAGTGGTGAGGGGGTCGTGAGATACAAACTGTTCAGTACTCTGCCCTGAGAATCGCCACAGGACACACACGTGTTACCAATGCACAACATCTTCAAGACGAAACAGCTGTCCTGCCTCTGAAAAACCAATCATGTGCAGATGACGGCCTCGCAGCGGAGGGAGAAGAGTAAACTGGAAGAGCACCCACTGAGAAGTCTGATAAATCAAAAGCCAATCAGACTCAGGAAAAATATCATATACAACAGTGAGTATAGCACAAAAGTGCTCGACTGCAACCAACAACAGTGATAGCAGCGTGGAGGTGAATAGAAACATGAAGACGTTGCATACCACCGCAGTCGAGAGATACCTAGAATCGAGAACACCCAACAAGATTCTAAACGCACCAGCACCTAAAGCAAACGAAACAGAGAGGACTTTGGACCGAGGCATGGGGCGCACAATGGCGCAGTTAAGGGCGGGGAAATGCCCAATGCTTAGAGAGTGCCTCAATAAGGTCGATGAGGCTAATTACCCTCTGTGTCAAAACCATACCCACAACCCACAACACACAACATCTGTTTGGATGTGCTGAAATTCCAACCAGCCTGCAGCCTGAAGATCTATGGAATGAGCCAGTGGAAGTGTCCCAAGTAATCAGAGTATGGCAAGACCGGCTCGGCGCTCCGGAGGGGGGTGGGCGTGGGCGGCCTTGGTCGGGTGACGCCATGGTAATCATCATCATCATCATCAGGGGGTCGTGAGTGGTGAGGGGGTCATGAGTGGTGGGGGAATCGTGAGGGGTGAGGGGGTCGTGAGAGGCAAGTCTCACCAGTCCATGAGGGTAAGTCTGAGGGTGTTGCACATGGAGGGGAAGAGGAAGCCCAGGCTGAGGGTCTGCCGGAACTCGGGGCTGTCGTTGCAGTAGAGGACTTTGGTCTGCACCTCCCGCCCTGCGTAGCCCGCCACCAGGTATGGGTCTACGAGCTCCTTGGACGCCTTCCCGATGCCCAGCACCTCCTTCAGCGTCTGCATCGTGCCGGAGTCCACTGGAGACATGGGTAGGTATCGGTGATACAAGGGAAGTGCAGTGCATGGTTCACTGCATGGTCCAGTGCATGGTTAACTGCACGGAGTTCACCGTGATTCTCTGAAGACGTATCTACTTCTGTGTAGTTTTGCGATTCTAAACTAACTTGACGAAGTATATCGAAGCAAAGAATCATATAAAACTTAATTAAATATATAAAATAAGTTTAAATGTTGCTGCGATGCCCCTCACTCCTGGGCAGGTCGTGGGCGCAGTAGACGGCGAGGCTGAGGGCGGCAGGCTGGAGGTGGACGCCAGCCGCCCACAGCAGGTTGCCCTCGACGTCGTCAGCGTCGGATTGCGTCACGGGCATGGGGGGGCAGCTCTGTCCTGGCCCTAGCACTGCCACGCTCACCCTCAGGTACCCTGTCGTGGGGCAGTGCACGTCGTCAATATGATAGAAGTTATTATGCATATTAATATTTATTTATTCATAGGTTGTAGCGGAAGAGAAGAGAGAAGTTACATATTTATATTATTTGTTCATAGGTTGTAGCGGAAGAGAAAAGTGAAGTTATAATACATATTTATATTATTTATTCGTAGGTTGCACCGGAAACCCTGGAACAAAGGAGAGCAAAGCGTTGAGCCTCACGCCGGTGTGACGTGCTCAGCACAACGCAAGTCCAGGTCTATTTCAAGTGACAACCAAGTTCTTCATTAAATAATAAGTATCTTGTGAAACGAATAGGATTTATAACCACTAAAGTGGAGGGCATACAGCTCAAGACGTTGATGATGAACTCGTCTGTATTCGAATACAATCGAACTTTCCGATAACAAACTTTGCATTTCAGGATACCAGAACAAGCGGACGATATTTGATGATCCGGTTTGATGAGTATATTAGAGTCAGGATGGGTGAGCACTCACCCTGCACGGTGGGCGTCTCCTCCTCAGGATGGGTGAGCACCAGCCAGCGGTTGACGAGTGCGTGTTCAGGCTGCCCGTACACCAGGCCGAGCTCGCACTGCGTCAGAAATGCTACCGAGTTTCTTTTTAGCCGATAACATATAATATATAATCTATTATCTAATATAATTTTCAATCTATTACAATCTATAATCTAATATAATCTATAATCTAATTCGTTAATCAGCTTCACATGTTATCTGTGTAGCCTAACTAGCCTAATGCATCAGGCCATAAATGACACCTGTGCAGTACGAAGGATAGTCAGGCATTAGTTACTTTACTCTTCACTCACGTACATTTATTATCGATTAACAAAGATGCTTCGTAACAACGGGAATTTTGAAGGAAGTTGATTAAGAAATACAAGAGTTTTGACCCACCCTGAGTCTTGACCCACCCCGAGTCTTGACCCACCCCGAGTTCCTCATGACGCCACATGACACCCCCTCATGACGCCACATGACACCTCCTCATGACGCCACATGACACCCCCTCATGACGCCACATGGCACCCCCTCATGACGCCACATGCCACCCACATGTGACGGGATGCATATTATGTGATATATTCATTTTTATTTTTAGGAGCACCGCTTGGACCACGTGTTATAATGATTCTCTTTTGTTAGATTAGTGACTCAATATGATTGTATATATTTTCATGACTATAATGTGGAATCTCGTTACTGTGATATTATTTTGTATGACTAAGGAATGCTTAAGCACATTTTTATTTCGTGACTGAAACAAGGAATCTCATTTGTTGTGATATCATCTGTCTGTAGCGTTGCGTGCAATCGTCTGCTAGGCGCCATGCGTCGTCTGCTAGCCCTGACACGTTTAGACTAATTTCTATGATATGTTAGTCGTAAAATATTACTTGACCTGTGATTTATTCGCTTTAATGTACAATTATTTTGTCAAATGACTTTATTCTTTTGTGATAATACTAATGATTTGCTGTTGTCCGAGAATCAGCGCTGTCAACCTACGATACCATCGTTAAAGTGAAGACGGCTAGGCCGCCATCTTGCGTAAGGAAGGTAGACATCTTAGAGGTAGATGTTCTATAAGAAGTCGATTATAACTTGTAGTCATGTTGTCAAAAAGTTGAACTCTTTATTAATATGATTTTATTAGGTGATAATACTTCTCATTGCATTTGATAATGCTTAGTCAATGTTCATTTGTCTAGTCTATTGACGAACTGGTAACGACTCACGCGCTTGCAAGTTAATTATCCTTGAGAGTTATTCTATCTCATATCAACTTTCATTTATCATTATTTGACCAATATTATGATTCTATTTTATTGTAATACATATACTATATTATCTGTATTTTTTGCATATAGACGAATTTAGTAGCCCATTTCTTGACCTACATTGTAAACTGGGTGTCGAGGTAAGCTCATTTTGGCTGAGTTACCCCCTCATTGTGTGCGCTCAGAAGTTGTGTGTGCTCAGTGTTACTGGGTTGGGGTGACATGGCTTCAACTTGAAATTACGGAACGCTGCGGAGGATTAGGTGGGAATATAGCCCACCTAGGGACTCCGATGGTTCCGGTTTTCTATGAGGGCTTGTCCTCATAGAAGGCCGGAAGCATCAGAGTCCCCAGGTTGTCTATATTCCCACCTAATCCTCCGCAGCGTTCCGTAATTTTCCAGCGATTGTCGAGGAGGCCGTTCAATTCGAGCTTTATCATCGTGGCTGTAGACATGATGCAATTCGTTGCTCCGGTGTCGACTTAATTAAGCGATGACGGATTATCCCTAATAGTCAATGTCACTAGGAGACTCTCTTGATCGAAATATTTTTCAGGTCGCTAACACAATATATTGCTTGCGTTTTAAATTTGAATTATATGAATGTCGTTATTCATGAAATATTCCTCTACTTCACATAAAAGTTCCTTCAGTCGTATTTGCGCTTTCCTTTTTAACACGTTTTTCTTAGCTTAGCTTCGCGTTTGTTTGTTGTTAACATTGACAACGAAAATTAGCCCACTTCTGATTGTTCTAGATATCTGAAATTCGGTATGCAGGCTATTTTCGCCTAACAATTTCAGATACAATCATAAAAACTAGCAATTAGAGACCAAAATTAGTTTAATTGAGTAAAGTATATATATACTATATATATAGTATGACGTGCGGGCGCTCACGTTATAGACGAGCAGGCGCTAACGCTGCGTATCATCGATACGTACGTCAAGTAATATTTACTCAAATATTAATAGTTTTTCTTGTGGACTAAAAAGTTGAAAATAAAATACTTTAAAAAACTTTTTAAAAACCACGTTTTTCTTGTGGACTAAAAAGTAGAAAATAAATTATGGCTCGCCTCAAAAGAACGTGGGTCGGGCTGTACGTTCACCATCAAATTTCCAAAATCCGTGTGTTGCGTGCTTTTCGCTTTAATCATAAATCTGCCCGACACACGTTTTTTGGGGCGAGCCATAATTTATTTTCTACTTTTTAGTCCACAAGAAAAACGTGGTTTTTAAAAAAGTTTTTTTAAGTATTTTATTACGTTCTTTCCTTGGTCCGATTTACTGCCTTTCCTGTACAAACGATTGGCGATAGTCTCAACTTCTTAATTCCAGTTGATCGCGGACTGAGGTTATGTAGGTATGGGCCGTAGTCATGCTACTTCAGGTGGAGTGGAATTTCGTGTTTTTAATTATTAACACGTTCTTCTTAACTCAGCTTCGCGTTTGTTTGTTTGTTGTTAAAATTGACAATGAAAATTAGCCCACTTATGATTTCTCTAGAGATTTGAAATTCGGCATGCAGGCTATTTTCGCCTAACAATTTCAGATGCAATCATAAAAACTAGCAATTAGAGAACTAAATTAGCTTAATTGAGTAAAGTATATATATATATATAGTATATATAACCCACCTGCGTCTTTAACTTAAAAATGAATGTTGTACATTTGAAACGTCGTTAAATATTAAAAATGTCTATTGGTAATTTAATTTTCAATCTTCCAACACCTACGAAGAATTGCAGGGTGATATATATCTATTTTATTGTGATATATTATATTATCTATTTTTTTGCATATAGACAATTTTATCAGCCTATTTCTTGTACATTGTAAACGGGGTGTTGAGGTAAGCTCATTTTAGCAGAGTTACCCTTCGCGGGAAAGTTGTGTGTGCTCAGTGTTACTGGGTTGGGGTGCACATGTTTCGACTCGAAATTAAGTAGCCAGATCTGGGCTTCTAAGAATAAACTCCACCGTAGACGAGGAAGTAACTCTTAATGAGTTCCGCTAACGGACTAATAACGACGTAGGTGGAGTTCTTGCTTAGGCCCAGTTGCTGGTAGCGCGCTGGGACGGCTAGTTCCCGTGCCGAGCTCTTCTCGTGTTGTGGGGGCTTATAACCTCTGCACTCGAGCTATTTGGCAGCGTTCTGGTACAGCTTCTGCGGTACCGTTCGCGCTTCTCGTGTCGTGGAAGTTAACACTTTCCACGCTCGAGAGTAATCGGAATTTAACTAGTGCACTAGGGCCATAACCCCTAGTCTCTGCGTTCGTTACCGGCATCTCGGTGCGGTTACGTATCATTTGCTGTCCGTTTTTGTGATTTGGCAGGGTATTACGGCTAGAATCCCTAGTCTCTGCGGCTGGTCGTTGGCATCTCGGTCCGACTAGTTCCCGTACCATTTGCTGTCCGTTTTTGTGAGTTGGCAGTGTATTAGGGCTAGAACCCCTAGTCTCTGCGGCTGATTGTGAAGCATCTCTGTGCGGTTAGTTCCAGTACCATTTGATGTCCACTTTGTGATTCTTGCAGTGCATTAGGGCTAGAACCCCTAGTCTTTGCGGCTGGTCGTTGGCATCTCGGTGCGGTTAGTTCCCTTACCATTTGCTATTCATTTTGTTATTCTCAGCCCTGTATTAGGGCTCATACTGTGTGGTTTCTCGGCTGTTTGTACTCCTGAAGTGTCCAGCCTTTTTCCGTTAACTTTTGGACTAAGACGAATAATAAATTGTGCGCCTAGTATGAAGAACCTTGTAATTCGCCTGAAAATTACCAGTTTACTACGATAAGTTTCTTGTATTTATTCCGCCTCTCTCCAACGCAAGGGAATTTAGAGCCGGACCAAAGAGCGACTCTTTAGCCCTTGTGTTTAGGATCAGTACGAAAGTTTCCGCCAAGTCGGCACGCTACCAGTAATTATTTCAACTTCGCGGCGGTGTTTCCGGTAGCACACACATGAAACTCACACATGACACCCTCTCACGACACCACATTACACCCCCTCATGACGCAACATGACACCCACACATAACGCCACATGACACCCTCTCATGACGCAACATGACACCCACTCATGACGCCACATGACACTCACACATTACGCCACGTGACACCCACACATGACACCCACTCATGCCGCCACATGACACCCACACATGACGCCACATGACACCCACATATGACGCCACATGACATCCACACATGACACCCACACATGACATACACACATGACATACACACAAGACACCCACACATGACGCCACATGACACCCACACATGACGCCACATGACACCCACACATGACACCCCCACATGACACCCACACATGACACCCACACATGACACCCACACATGACACCCACACATGACACCCACACATGACGTCACATGACACCCACACATGACGCCACATGACACCCACACATGACGCCACATGACACCCACACATGACACCACATGACACCCCCTCATGACGCCACATGACACCACGTGCCCCCCACTCATGACGCCACATGCCCCCAGTCATGACGCCACATGACACTCCCTCATGACGCCACATGACACAACATGACACCCCCTCATGACGCCACATGACACCCACACATGACGCCACATGACACCCCCATCATGACGCCACATGACACCCACTCATGCCGTCACATGACGCCACATGCCCCCCGTCACCTTGAACTCGAGGAAGCTCTCCAAGAGTTCGCTGGGCAGGCACTCGGCGGTGAAGAAGAAGAGCTGGTTGAACCACGGCGCCTGACTGCCCTTCAGCACCCTGGGGGAGACGTGGGCAGATATAACTTCCGGTAATTTGGGACAGAGTGTGGGACAGGTTTAGTCCTTAGCAATCTGCAAAGGACGAGAATTATTTGCTCTTCAGCACGCGGGCAGATCGAGAGAAGAGGCACACTGAAACAAAATATATGACAGTGGCGATCAACACCGCAACGTATTCTTGAATAATAAAATCGCGTACTACTCTTGGTGCAGGTTAGAAAAATCTCGTAATGGCGGTACAGACAGCACCCAGCACCTGACGGTACAGACAGCACCCAGCACCTGACGGTACAGACAGCACCCAGCACCTGACGGTACAGACAGCACCCAGCACCTGACGGTACAGACAGCACCTGACGGTACAGACAGCACCTGACGGTATAGACAGCACCTGACGGTACAGACAGCACCTGACGGTACAGACAGCACCTGACGGTACAGACAGCACCTATTGTGTTAATTAGTACAACCATTAATACCTGTGTCCTCTTTATTGTGTTAATAAGTTCAACCATTATTATTTGTATTCAGGTTATTGTACTAGTTCAAAGAGGCCAAACGCTCCGTTTATTGTGAACGATTTTTAGCGTGAAATCTACGATGAAGGAGTGACTATACACGTGAGTTCACGTAGGAGTGATACAAGTAGCGCCTCTTAAGTTAATAGGCAATCGCAATTATAGGCAATGATCAATCTGTCCGATACAGTAACACGATTATTACTTCAAGTCAGAGATAGCGTGAGGTCACCCAGCCCTTCAAGATCTTTTTTCGTTCAAGTGTCTGATATTTAATGTTTTATATTCTGTGTTAAATATTAAATAAGTGTAAGGCATTATTGAAGCGGCTCAAATTCAAGTGAATGCTCGATTGCCGCAAATACATTGTACAAAGAAATTTATTTGTATTTCCATTGAATGTGCGTGAAAAATTTGTCGAACCACTTTGCTTATATTTCTACCTCACGTTTAAATTTAGCGACCATCAGCAAGATTTTGAGAAAGTAACGAGGTATAAGAAATATATATTTAGGCTCTAACTTGGCGTAAGCCAACGACGGAGAAGTTGCAACACAAGTTCAGGTCGCGCCAACTTGCCTGAAACTTGGTGGGGACGTTGGCAAGGGCGGTGGGCTTGCCGGCGTCGGAGGAGCCCTTCTGCAGGGGCGGCGCCCCTCCTGCAACGAAAGGCGCTTTTTGTCTATAATGGGGCCAGCAATATTGTTATATTATATTATTCCAGCCATTAGCGCTTGTTAGCGTCACGTTACGCTACACTATTTCATCCCCCAATGAGGAAGAGGGGCTCATATAACATGAAGGGGGGGCTCATATGATGGGGGGCAGGAGCTGACCTGCCGTGACCTGGTGCGGGGACGCCGGGGACGTGGTAGGTGGGGACGCTGCTGCCGTAGGCGGGACGTCGCCGGCAACTGAGGGAAACAGTGGCAGGTTAATGTAGGTACAGTGGCAGCCACTGAACTGACAGTGGCAGCCACTGAACTGACAGTGGCAGCCACTGAACTGACAGTGGCAGCCACTTACCAAAATCGAGGGTGTAGCACACCGCCATGTTCAGGAGGCCCACCTGCGGGGGTGTAGCACACCGCCATGTTCAGGAGCCCCGGGGTGGGCAGGTCGCCCGCGTCCAGCAGCGGCTGCTGCAGCTCCAGCGTCCCCGAGGCGCCGGGCACCTGCAGGAGGTTGCGCAGCGGCAGGCTGGCCTTCCCCATCAGCCTGGGGACACGGGGCTCATACAGATAATATAGCAATGGTGGTAGTGATATAATGGTAATAGTGATAGTAATAGTGATAGTGATAGCGATAGTGATAGCGATAGTGATAGCGATAGTAATAGCGATAGTAATAGCGATAGTAATAGTGATAGTAATAGCGATAGTAATAGTGAAAGTTTTAGTGATAGTAATATAATTGTAATAGTGATAGTATTAGCGATAGTAATAGTGATAGTACTAGCGGAAGTTTGAAATTTCGTAAGCTATCATTTGTGGGGTTGCAAGATTATTATTAAGTCAGATATTTTATAGTCTCCCAAAATGTCTTTAATAGTGAACTCGAATTTATTTTCATATCTTGGAAACCAGAATAATCTATCCAAATGGTCTTCGGATTTCAAGAATTCCATAAGCGAACCGATACGTGGTTTCTTTTCTCCAGAATTCCAGAACTTGCTAATCGTTGGCACCTCTCCCAGCTCCAAGAACGTCTGTCTAACGAGAACTCAATCAAAGTGAGGAGCCAGGTTTCTGGCTCTGCTTTATCCCGTTCCAGTGATTTCAGCGCATTCCAAAGCGACTCCAACTTAATTCTCAATTGTGAGAGTGGTAGCTTATCCTTCTTCGTGTCATTTGATATGACAAGCTTCCGCAGTTCCCTCACAGACACTTGCAGCAGGAGACCTCTAATGTCGTATCTCCCCTTCAATGCCGCAATCGCTTTGCTATTATTTTTCGCCGTGGGTGGTTAGCATTCTATACAGTTTGTTTGGCTGTACTCCCATATTTCAGTCCGTGGAAAAGATACCCGAACTTCACGCTGTCGCCTAGCGACTCATCTTCATGGATCCTAGCGTACTACACCCACCATCCAAGCCATTCTAACAAGTTCCCATCGAACACTTACCTCAATCTTGGTAACTTGTCAGATCTTACGACCTTGTTTTGGCTGTGCTGCTGCACTCGGACAGTGGAGGTGAATGCGAAGGGAATTCAGTTTTGAACTGCAAAGCCTCCTTCTTCTCTATCTCTGTATTAAAAATTTTTTTGTCGTACGCGTCACATATTTGAAATTCTTCCTCAATGATACTGTCTTCAGTTTCCTCGCTAATCATGAAGTTTTGCTGTTCAAAACTGAGTTCCCTTCGCATCCACCGCCACTGTCCCAGTGAGACAGAAATATAAAATTGTAAGAATTGTTCTGCAGGATCTACCCTACCTCAGTTCACAATTTCTGTGTTGATCTCAATATAATAATTAGTCAGTCGCCAAGTATACAATGATTTACACTAATAATTACCATTATTTCATATAAATCTTCAAGCTCCCCAAAATTTGACCTTCAAATTAATTATCGTCGCTTTCAATGTTAAATTTTTACCATCCGATTTACAAATTTGCGATTGTTTTTACATCTTTTACCTTCGTGTAAATCTGTTTCGAATCGCGAGAAGAGCTACTGGCGGTGTACTAGCTACGAAAAACGCACTGGCCACAGAAATATAGAGCTCAGAAAAAATATTTGGGAGACTTAAAAACTATCTTGCAACCACCAAAATGATAACTTACGGAATCTCGCATATGGTAATAGTGATAGCAATAGTGATAATGACAGTAATAGCAATAGTGATAGTAATAGTGATTGATAGTGATAGTGATAGTCTTGGAGTATAGTTCTTTGAATTAAATTATTTCACCGATTCACATGTAATACTGACTTGTTCCAGCCGAGCCTCTCGTAGTCTTTGACTTCAACCTCCATGGTCTCGTCAGGACGAGGGGGCTTCTCCGACACGTCCCACTCCAGCTCCTCATTCCACTCTGGGGTTAGAGTACTTTTCTGCACACTCGTCTTCTTCTTCACACCTGTGACAAGTGACCAAGTCGGGTGAGCAACTTCTGCACTCAAGCACATAGCTGCTAATTATGACATCGCTGCTACTGCAAGTATGGTAGCCAAGTTGTACTTGGTAAACAAAGAAAACCATATATTCTCTCGTTGAACTAGATTATTATAGTGAGTATTTTCAAGTTGGATTACTCTGCGCTGCATGTTTTGAATAGAAAAGTTGTTATTACTGCACAAGATCGAGTTACCTTGGAAGCTGACGGTGACGTAGGGGTCACTGAGTCCACCCAGCGACTCGTGGTTGACGAGGTTCGTGGCATTCTTGATGGTGAGTTTAAGCGACATCTCAGAGTGTCGGTGACAGTGTTTTATTCTTAATTAACTTGACCAAGTACACCCCATTAGGTACAGCACTAGCAATACGACTGGAGGGAGGAGATGTAATTAGGTACAGCACTAGCGACACGACTGAGGGAGAAGATGTAATTAGGTACAGCACTAGCGACACGACTGGAAAGAGGAGATGTAATTAGGAACAGCACTAGCGACACGACTGGAGGGAGGAGAGGTCACTATGTACATCACTAGCTAGAACATATTTAGCTCGACGTCTCACGCATCAAAGGCTCTACGTCTCACGCAAAAAAGGCTCGACGTCTCACGCAAAAAAGGCTCGACGTCTCACGAAATAAAGGCTCGACGTCTCACGAAATAAAGGCTCGACGTCTCACGAAATAAAGGCTCAACGTCTCACGCAAAAAAGGCTCGACGTCTCACGAAATAAAGGCTCGACGTCTCACGAAATAAAGGCTCGACGTCTCACGAAATAAAGGCTCAACGTCTCACGCAAAAAAGGCTCGACGTCTCACGAAATAAAGGCTCGACGTCTCACGAAATAAAGGCTCGACGTCTCACGAAATAAAGGCTCAACGTCTCACGCATTACAGGCTCGACGTCTCGCGCAAAAAAAGGCTCGACGTCTCACGAAATAAAGGCTCGACGTCTCACGAAATAAAGGCTCGACGTCTCACGCATTACAGGCTCGACGTCTCGCGCAAAAAAGGCTCGACGTCTCACGAAATAAAGGCTCGACGTCTCACGAAATAAAGGCTCGACGTCTCACGCATTACAGGCTCGACGTCTCGCGCAAAAAAGGCTCGACGTCTCACGAAATAAAGGCTCGACGTCTCACGAAATAAAGGCT